ACTTCGTAGTGCGTCAACACATGCTTCAGATGTCTGAAAGCAGCCTCGCATCTCTCAGTCCACTCCCACGGGTGTCAAGGCGGGTCAGATCAGTCAAAGGGGCGACAACTATGCTATTGTTCTCCACGAAGTTGCGATAGTAGCCGGTCATCCCTAAGAATGATCTCATCTTAGTCACAGACTGAGGACGCGGCCAGTCACGAATGCTGGCCACCTTCGCGTCATCAGGCTTCAACCCTTCCGCGGAAATCTCATGACCCAAGTACAAGACACGGGTGCGGCCAAACTCACACTTCTCATCGTTGATCTTGAGCTTGTGCTGTTGCAGGAGACTAAGGACTTTGTCCAAGTGTGCAACATGCTCCTCGACAGTCTTACTAAAAATAAGTATGTCATCGAGGTACACGATGACAAACTTATCCAAGTAGTCATGGAAGATCCGATTCATAGCGTGCTGAAAGGTGCCAGGAGCATTGCAAAGGCCGAAAGGCATCACCACAAACTCGTACAGACCGTACCTGATTTGAAAAGCGGTTTTGTGCTGATCCTTGGGCCGGATTGCAATTTGATGGTACCCGGACTTCAGATCTATCTTACTGAAGTACCGACACCCTTGCACTCTATCTAACAAATCATCGATGTGCGGTAGGGGCTCTCTATTCTTTACAGTGATGGCATTGAGGCCCCTATAGTCAATGGACATCTTGTGTGCCCTCCTTCTTAGGTACGAACAGGAGATCCATAAGGAGAGACACTCGACCGGATCCAACCCTTCTCTACGAGTTCCTTGAGTTGTCGGCGAAACTCATCGAGCTTGCCTGGAGACATCCGATACATCCTACCCTTCGGGATACTAGACCCAGGGATAATCTCTATCGCGTGGACGACCTCCCTCTCTACAACCCCTGTCGGCTCTTCAAATAGATCAAGGTACTTAGCAACTACTCCCTCTATCTCCGGTGGCATTTTCACCGGCTCGCCTGCAGCAGAGACATAAACTAGGTACATACCCTCCTCCTGATTTTGCTTATAATAGTTATAAAACGCGGACGCACACATGCATCCATGGGACTCGATCAGACTACTAGCTTTGAACGACCTGTGCCAACAAACATATCCATTGGGAGCTCGTCACTCGCTAGGAACGAGACACGATGTCTCAATTCCCCTCCCGCGTACGGGAAACAACACTCCACATATTGGAGGTAGTCGTTGACTACCATGCGCTGTTTGTTGGCACAGGTCGACTCCACATGTCGACTCAGGCGTTGCACTCGCCCCTGTAAACGCAGCCTCTCAACGCACGAGCGACTAATGAAGTTCCTTGTCGAGCAAGTGTCATAATAGGCCCCAGCCTTGCGACGGCGAATGACCACCTCGCTGACGAACATCTCACCCTTCGGGGCTTTGACTAGGGTCGTCCAAGAAGCTAGCGGGTCTGACCTAGACCACTCCACCTCTAGCTCCTCTAAGGACTCAAACACATTCATCGAACAGAGGCTCGATGGGTCTGAACGTGTTTGCGGGACGACGCTGGAGTCAGTAGCTTGGGCCATCTCTCAAGATGGTGAGGGTGTCTCCACCACCTCGACCCTAGTAGGAACAACTACTATTCCTACTGGCCCGACGTGTTTCCCGGAGCGGTGCCTGAAGTGCTGGCAACATTGCTACCAACGGGATGTGAGGATCCTACCGCCTGCCCAATCGTAGGCGGGATCTTGTCGACCACCTTCTTGTTACAGCACTTGAATTGATTATGGCCATATTGGCCACAACGAACTACCGCCTGCCCCATCGTAGGCGGGATCTTGTCGGTCACCTTCTTGTTACGGCACTTGAATTGATTATGGCCATATTGGCCACAACGAATACAAGCTTGTCGGGTGTACCGGTCTCGTCAGGTCCATCTCCTCTAACTCACTAACGTCCGCTTCTCTCCGCTGCATCCTGGCTCTTCTTCTTATCATTCTTTCCTTATCCGCTTTTATCCGTCCTAATGCATGCTGTAGCTGTGCCTCTTTCAAAGCTGCCTCCTGTATGGCGATCTCATCGGAGGTCAAGACCAATGGCTGGCTCGCCATTACGCCAGTGGACTGACTCTGGGTCTGCACGACCGTTGACCCAACAGACCCTGAACTACCCGCCTGAGTAGACTGCTGTGCTGAGGTGGCCATGGCTTCTGAAGCTGCGGCTTCACTCACAAGTGCCGTGCTAGCCTCTGCTGCTCTAGCCCTCCTCTGCTGCTGCTGCCTCTCCCTAAGCTGGCGGAACAGATGTTTGTCGCCCTCTGGTCCAAATGCCAAGTGGGCTACTGGGCGCCTTGCCGATCGCAAGATCGTCCGGTTGCTGTTCCTCCCTATCGCTCATAGGCTACAGCACTGTACACAATCTGCGCTAATGCACACTGGATGCCTACCGCAGCGTAGTGCACAGACCAACTAAGTAATTGGTTGCTATTTCGGAACAGATATCACTTGAGGTCAACAGGTAAGTCAGATTCCTACGAACGGAACTATTTTTAGTTTGACTAGTCCGCAATCAGAAGCATCATTGACAAGAAACAGTTCTAAATGGCTGTACACCTAACTGATCAAGACATAAAAATAGAATCATTTGTGTGGATAGGACAGCATGGAATTTTCTCGAACTTATCACATGGAATTTACCCCTCCCTTAGTTCCCCGGAGTATCACTTGACGTCAGCGTCCCTGAGCAATCTGGAGAGCGTCACGTGTCTAAAGGTGTGTCCGGCCCACCCCTGTGCCCCGAGTATCTGCTGAGCTGGCCACCCCTGCACTGGGCTCTCCTTGCGTGCAGCGAGCCTGACAACCATTGGCTGATCCAGAGGCAATTTAACGTCCGCCTCCAAGTGACTCCAGGAATTCTTTTATGTCGTAGCCGGACGACGATAACAGCCAATGGTTCCCCTTCCGGTGCTTATTTAAAGACGCCCGGTCTCGTCTCCCTTAAGGGCTGGCCTGCCCATCAGTACCCATCTAACAGCGCAGCAGCCGAACAAAGGACAAGCAGCAAGGCATGCGTGCTCTACTCCCTGTGGGTTGGCATGGTGACCGTGACCAAGTGCTTCATCCAGGGCCCTTCAGAAAGCTCCGCCCATCTTCTCCCAGATGCTCCATGTGAACATTGCCGACTCTCAAGTTTGAGCGCGCTCGACACCTCACAATGAGAGGACGAGGGTAAATAAGGTTAAGAGCAACATACCTCAAATAGCTGCCCCCAACCACAGAGATAATCTCACCAGATGACCTTATGGCGATTGCGATGACCAGTCACTGCATCGGCACAACCAGCACAACCAGCATTATCTCGCCGTTCCACCTCAGCATCAATCGCACATTAGATAGTTCTCATCACACTGTCCAGACCACATTACCCCACGTAGCCTTCCTGGCGATCTCCTCACCTCCTGGGTCGCCAAACACTCGCCTCCGCCCTCCTCACTACACACCACTTACGGCCAAATTCGCCAACCAGACCGCATGTATGTACCGTACCAGGCAGAAGACAAGCGCCAGATGAGCGCAAACGTACCACAGCTTCGATACCAAACTGCAAGGAAGATGAGCAACAGCGAACTTCAGCAATCAAACAGCATCATACATATGAGTCCAGATAGTCTTGACCTCGAACCAACAGCAGAATTGCATCACGAGATTCACCAAATAAGAACACACCAAGAGTTCATAATTGACAAT